TGGAGGCTGAAAGTCCAAGATCAATTGGCCCTGTTGGTTCAGGCTCTGGTGAGGGCCTCGTGATGATGGATGGCATCACAATGACAGGAGCACATGGGGGGAAATCACATGGTGAGATCAGGAGCCAGAAGGATTCAGGGGCCAGGCTTGCTCTTCTATAATAACTTGCTCTTTTGAAAACTAACTCACCAGGAGACCAGCATTAATACCTTCTGAGGGTGATGCCCCAGTGGCCTAACCATCTTCCATAGGTTCCACCTCTCAAGTAAGATTCTGCCTCTTCTGAACATTGCCATGCTGGGGGCCAAGCTGCCAACACATGAGGCTTGGGGAACAGACCACATCCGAATGATACAACCACCTTGTTTTATGTTGTTATCTCTTAAACATCTCTGAGTTATTTCCCTTCTGGATGGGAAAAGTGGCCTCCTCAGTCCCTGTTAAGAGCCTTCTATGAGCAGACCCTTCCTACAGGGGTTATAATGTGGAAGCCTAGTAGAGAATGGCCCCAGCAACACTAGGAGCCACTCAAATAGTATCTTAAGTTGAGTTGAATTGGTCTTCTCATCTCGTGATATCTGGGATGCTTGGAGTGACAGCCATGTCCAGATAGTCTTAAGCCTGTGCAGAACTCTTTTTCCCTGGGTTTCCGCTCCACCGGGATCAGTTACTAGCACTTCCCCAGAGGCACAGAATGAAGCAGTTGATCCACCCTTAAAGTGGCACTGTTCTGGATCTTATCATCCTGCCTTGAACAGAGAGATAAACATAATTTCAATCCCCATTTTTTATGCACTCACTAGAAAGCAGACAGTGTTGTTCCAAGATGGATTTCCTGTGTCATAGAAACACAGAAGCATAAAAGGGAAAAACCAGATGTGCACATAGAGCCTGCCCAGGCTCACACATTCTTCATACCCAGAGTCGTTAGGCCTTATGTTCTGTGTTCCTTTTTTTTTTTTTTTAATATGAACTCTTGCTCAAATTCAAAGTCAGGGTTAGGAGGAGGGAGGCACAGATCTGGGAGTTCATGCACTGGGGTGTCATCTGTGGTTGTCCACACATGTGGGAGCTTGTTGTGTGAAAGTGTCACTGTGCAGATCTAAGCAGGGCACTTCAGGGATACTCTTAAGCTTTGAACAACCTCCTTGCAACCTATCAATCCTTTCTCTTCAATGGAATGCAAAGCCCTCCTGTCCAGAGAAGCCTTACAGATTGAGGAGATCACAGACAAGATGCTGTTGGCCCCAGCACACTTGCAAAGCACTTTCTCTTTAGAATTCCTGAGTCTTGGGAATCTCAAGTGAAAATGCTTTAAGTAGTGCCAGGCCTGTTTCTGTCCACTGAAACACAGGGTGATTTTCTCAGTCAGAAGAAAAGTATAAAATACAGTTACAATTACAAAATTAGCAAGTATTGTTCTTTTCATTTGAAATGTACAGCCTGGCTTGAGATTATAGCAAGGAAGCTGTGTCTAGAACTGTGATCACAGAGTAACAGTGGTCTTGGGTCCAAGCGAAAGAGAAGCAGTCAGCAAACAGTTGGGGAGCTGACCTCCTGATGCCCCAGGTTAGGAGAGCTAAATTTGGAGAGAATAGTGAGGACTAAAGTAGTGGATAGGGTCATCTAACAAGACCCTGATTCGTGATTGTTTATTTAGTTTCTACTCCTTGCTAGACACTGTTATAGAAGCTGAGAATATAGTAAGAAGGAAAAATGAAGTCTGTTCTCATCGAATTTATATCCAAGTGGATGGAGACAGATTGTCAGGTGGCAGTAAGTGCAAAGAAGAGAATTCAAGCAGGTTGAAGGGACAGTTGGGTGGTGCTATTTTAGATGTGTTGGAGGGGAATGTCTCTCTCAAAAGGGAGCATTTGAACAGGAACCTAAATCAAGTGCTGGAGCAAGTCTCATGGATATCTGGAGGAAGATCACCATAACCCAAAGGAAAAGGCTTGGAGTTGGGGGTGAGTCTGAGCAACAGCAAGGGACCAATGTGGCTGGAGCCATAGAGGTCAGAAAGGAGTGGTGGGCAGTGCCACCAGAGAGTTGCTTGGGGCCAAGATCCCCCTGGGTCTTGTAGTGAATGGGTGAGAAGCCACTGAAGGTTTTGAGCAGAGGAGTGATTTGATTGGACAGGTTTTCAAAGGACCACTGTGACTGCTGGGTTCTTGAATAGACCTTAGGGAGGCACCAGAGGCAGCAGGGAAATAGCATCTGATTGTGGAAGTACAGGTGAGAAAATGTGTCTGAATTAGGGAAGTTGTGCTGGAATGGTAGGGCATTAGTCAGACTCTGATATTTCACAGGCAGAACCAACAGCATTTTCTGATAGATTGCAGAGCATGAGAAAGAAAGGGTGGGGGAAGACTTAAGATGATTCCAAGTTCTTGTTTGCTTGTTTTCTGAGCAACCAGAAGAATGGAATTGCTGTTTACTGAGATGGGAGGGATATCAGAAGTCTGGTTTTGGACATGGTACATTTGAAATCTGATTAGACATTAACAAGGAGGTGCCAGGTAGTTAATTGATGGTAAGAGTCTGGAGTTCAGGAAATCGAGTGAGGTATAAACTGAGGCTCTGTGGAGTCCAAAGACTGTCAGTTTCATCCTGCTCAAAAAAAAAAAAAAAAGACTGGGAGGTCTTTGGAAGCCCTGGACTATGGACTAGCCAAGGCATACTTTGCATCAGGGATGGCCTGGACCATGGAATACCTCTACTGTGTCTTCAACCTCCAACCAGCACTTCACTCGTTCACAGATGTTCACCAGGTGCCTATCTGCATGCCAGGAGTGGGCCAGGTATTGGATATGAAAGGAGAACAAGACACTCCCTGTCATCACAAAATGCTTAGTTTTCTAGGGGATTAGGACAAGAGAATGGAGATTTCAGTTCAGTGAGTTGGGGTACATATGGGGTGTTGTTGGACCCAAAGCAGAGGAACCTCATCCTGTCTTGGAGACAGAGAAAGCTTCTCAGAGAACACGCTATCTAAGCCTTCCCCTGGAAGATGAGTAGGGAGAGCAGGTAAAGAGTGAGAAGGTGGGCAGAGACTGTTCTAGGCAGAGCAAGTAGCATGTGACAAGCAAAGAAAATTTGTCCAGATGAAGGAGAAGAGGACAGCTGAGTATGTCTGGGATGCAAAATGAAGGGGGTGCACAGAGGCAGAGAAGGGCAGGTCAGGATCCTAAAGGGCAGCACTGGAATCTGATTATAACAGCTAGGGGATGCTTTTGAGCAGTATGAGGCATAAGCGGCTTAAGGTAGGAGTGGGTAAAGAGAGGCGAGCCTGGGAGCCATTGTATCAGAGAGCTGGCGGGTGGCAGTCTCAGATCTCAGTGCCCTAAAAAATGACCCATAAATGTGTTCATATAATGTGACACAAGGCCTGAATCTGCTGTGCACAACCTCAGCTAATGGGAGAGATTCTTTAACTCAGAGAGTTAATCACTTTGATGTAAATGAAGTTCAATATACAATCTTTTAATAGGGGGCCAGTGTGTGGGAGAAAGGAGGTGGAGGGCAGCTTTAAGATGGGACAGCCCCCAGGAAGGGCAAGTTCTAGTCACGGGGGAAGGTAAGGGGAACAGGAATGGAAACCGACAAATCATGTTCTTTCTAAGTTCATCTTGTTTTGTGTAATGTGTGTGCTGTGCAGTGTGTACTCAGGACAGGGCCCAGATTCCACATGAAGGTGCCGAGTGCTGGGTGTGTGTGTGCTGGGACTGGATGTTTGCGATGGGATGTTTTTTCTGAGTCCCTGTTAACGTGCAGAGCTCTGGAATGCACACTGTGCAAGCGCCTACCTGCAGGAAAGGGATCTGCAGCCAACAGATGTGAGAGAGCATAGGCCTGCGGATGGCCCCGGTGGCCAAGATAGTATCTCACAAAGAACAGGCTACGGGTTCTCTTCAAAGTTAGAGTATTTGGACTCACTTTGCACACAAATACATAGGCACTTGGGTATTTGTCAAATGAATGAGCGTTTTGGTTTTATTAAAGTTCGGTCATTTTAGGAAACATAGAAGTTTGGTTAAAAGTTTGAACTAGATGCTTTAAGAAAAATAAATTCACAGCCAGACACCAATATCCATTTATAAAACCTAGCAGTTTAAATCCTGTATAGGAGTTTATATATCAGCTGGAGTCCAACTCTGTGGAAGAAACTCTTCCTATTTCATTTTATGCAACAAACATTTCCTGAACATCTCAGCCCCACAGGCAAGCCCGGCTTTGCTGCCTGCACTCATTTCCCTTTCCTGAGCCACCTTAGTCAGGTGCTGCAATTAAAGCTTAATTATATGTTATCTTCTATTGTTCCTTAATTGTTGCATCTGCATTAATCCACCTCTAAGGGAGGCTGTGTGTTCCTTGGGGCAGGGACTATACTGTCAACTTCAGGGTAAATGAGGAATGAAGGAGAGAGAAAACACAGAAGTGTCTGAGGACATATGGAAACATGGAATGATGTCTGGACTGTATTTATTCCTTTAATAATGAAAAGATAAAATTCCAATTTGCATCTTCATGTTAAGTGAAGGCTTTGTGTATGAAAATAATTGCTGTGATCCCCACAATGCTTTGTTCATCTTGATGCAAGACATAACTCTTTTCTTGGGGATGAAAGTTAAAAAGGTGGAACTAGGCTACCATGAATGACCTCTTAGCCAGATTATCCTGCAGCAAACTTCTTAACACTGGCACTATTGACATTTTAGACTAGGTCATTTTTTGTTGTAGAGGCTGTCTTGTGCCTCGCAGGATGTTTAGATGCCAGAAGGTACCCCTCCCCCCAGTTGTGACAGTCAAAAATGTCTGCAGAAGTGGCTCAGCGTCCCCCAGGGGCAAAATCACCAGCAGTTGAGAATCAGTATCCTATAGGACTTTAGGTTCTAGTTACGTTTCTTATTTAAAAAATGGTGGGAGACCAGGGAAGGAAAATACTCTACTTACTTGCTGTGGGTTAGGCACTCTATCTACTATTGTATTTCATCTTACAGATAAAGAAGCTGATGTTCAGAGCTGAAGAACTTGCTGAAGAACTTGCTGAAGATCACAAAGCTGGGTCAGCAGTTAAATCAGGATTGCAAGGCGGGCTTATCTGTCTCCAAAGACTTCAACCCTTTCTGCACACTCCCACTGTTTCTGTAAGAAAAAACGGGCAGGCCTCAAGTTGAAGGTGAACTGCAAATTAAAAAAACCATGTCGGAAAATATAACATTTTTTTGGGGGAAGGGAATTGTTGCACTTCACTAAATTTGTTTGAATGTAAATATATATGTCCTCGCATATAGACACTGGGCCCTCTTACTACCGTTGTGGCTCTGGTCTTATCTAGGAAAAACATTGAGCAACACAATGGAACAACTTCAATTCTCCTTGTTACAAATTATCCAAAAGCCAGAGCCTAACGGTGCCAAAAGCAACCAGTATTGTTTACATAAGGGCTGAAGGCTAATAGTTAACTTTCTCCCATTTATTTCCAGAAACGGTAAATAACGCCTCATTTTACAACTACAAACGAGGAAAATGTCATAAAGCGGGGGAAGAAAACAACCCAAAGGAAAATGGAAAGGTTGGTTTTTAGCACCCGCTCTGGGAGCCGGGCCTGCGTGGCCTGGGTCCCCATCGTCCCCTCCAAGCTCTGGTCCGCGGCGCCCGGAGCTTTCTGGCTTCCTTTCCCGCCCTGGGGCGAGCTCGGTCTCTCTCGGAGAAGCTTGTCTCAGAGCCAGGCCTGGAAAAACAACAGCGAGAAACTTTGGCTGGGTTTGCGGTTCAGTGGAAAAAAAAAAAAAAAAAAAAAAAAAAAAAATCAAGTTTGGTTCGGGGCTGCAGCTGCTGGTTCCGATTTGGGGGCGGGGGCGGGGGTGGGTCACAACTCGGTCAGGTTCAAGTGCGCATGTGCCGAGGAGTTGCTCAGGCACTTATTGAGCGCCGACTGTCTACGGGCGACTGGGGGTGTGTATCCCTGGCGTGCGGGGGCGGTGGGGGGCCAGTGCGCGAGGCCGAGGAGGGGCGCGCAGGCCCGTGCACGCGCGGCGCCTGGGGCTGGGGGCGAGCGGGTTGGGCGGCGCGGGGTGGGTGTGTCTGTCCCCGAGTCTCCCCCGTCCGCTCGCAGTCTGGCTGCTCTTGCGCTCCCTTCCCGGGCGGGGAATCCGGGCCGGGTTGTGGCCGCGGCCGTGTACGTGAGCGCAGTGTCCCGGAGAGGGAGGGCAGGCCGGCCAGGTGGGCGCGAACTGAGCCTCGGCGGGAGGGCGGCCGGAGCGGAGCGGAGCGGGGCTGCGGGCCGCGCCGGTGGGCGGGCAGGGCCGCGGCGGCTGCAGCCCGGAGCCGACCGGTTCGACCGGGAGCTGCCCGGCCCGCGCTGCTGCTCGTGGCGGGCCGAGGTGAGCTGCGCGGGGACCTCGCGGCGCTGCAGCCCGGGGACGGGGGCGGCCGGGAACTTCCCACGCTCTGCACGCCCTCGGGGCCTGGACCGCGGCCGGGGGCCCGGAGGCCGGCGCAGCCGGGGCAGCGGCGGGTGGGGCGCGGGGGCGCTGCAGCAGTGCCGGCGCTGGCCGGGTGGCCGGGTTGGGGTGGCCGCGCGCCCTCCGGTGCGCCGCCTTGTTTATCTCGCCGCTGCCGGCGCTCTCATCGGATCCCCCTCCCAACTTTGAGCGGTGGTCCGGAGTCGCCTCTCGGAGGGAGACTGATCGGTTAACCTGGGTCCTCCCGGATCCTTTCTGGCTGGGCCGCCAGCCGGGCGCCCCTTGCGCTCCTGCCCACTCCCGTGACGAGCAAGCGAGCACTGGGCTGCCTGACCGGCGGCGCGACACACCCTCCACCCGGCCGGCTGTCGCCCACCCTCTCTCAAACCGCTTCTGGCTATTACCCTTTCAGTCCCCGTGTTCTCAGCCTGCCTGTTCCTTACCCCAGGTCCTTGTCTTTTCCTGGCGGTGGCACTGTGGACATATGGGGTGCCTGGGTGGGGGCCTGGACCTGGAGTTTGTCGTATGCAAACAATTTCAAAGGCAGCATTTTCTTCCCTGCTTTGGAGTTCGGGCTCAGTTTCTTGGCGTTAGGGCGGAGTTAGCGATCTCAAAAAGCCCACCTGCCAGGCGAGAGGTGTGCTCTGCCTCCTGTTTTTGGGCGGCTCTCTGGCTTTGGAGGACTTCCACCAGACGTTCCTTCCCATGATGCCAGGCCACCAGGCAGTCATTGCTTTCTCTGCACCCCCTTTGCAGAAAGGTGCAACTAGGCAGTTTCTTCAAAGTGAGTGATCAACAGGTATTGAAGGCTTTCCAACACCCTCCTCGAGGTGTTGTGTAAATAGAAGTTCCTGGTTTGGAGGAAGCTGGAAACATAGCATTACCTTCAACTCTACAGGTCCTTTTGAGGAGTTGCTGTGGTGTCTGGGAGATGCTAAAAGGCACATATGAAATCTAAGGCCTCAGGAAGTCTATCGACTAGGTGGAAGTGATTTGAGAGCTCAAGTTCAAAGTAAAATGGTATGACTGCCTAAGTTAGTGCGCGTTATGGGGGCATAAGCAGGTAAAGGAAATGTTACAATTGGGGATAGGACGTGGAGTACTGGTTTTGAAATAAATTTTGCATGTTCCGATTAAGGCAGTGACAAAACCCAGAGTCAAGAGAAGGACTACAGTGGAAGCTAGGAAGGCTACAAAAGATCTGTGGGATGATCTCCTCTAGGGTTTAGAATCTCATACAGGACCCAGAAAGACTTGAGCCTGTGAAATAAGACCTCCAGATAGGACACAGTTAACTGTCCAAATTTGAGGTGTAGATATAGGTGCTTTGGGAGGTCAGAGAAAGGAGCCATGGGCAGGAACTGCAGCACAATATTCTTGGAAGATGAGATGGGTCACAGAATGGTACTGAACGTGGCTTTCCGGAGACAAGGAGATGGCCTTGGCTACCTTGGAATGTTTCCTGAACAGTAGGAGATAAAGATGGAGAGGAACAATGGTTGAGATTGTGAAAGTCCTAGAAAGCCAGAATGGGGAATTGCACTTTACCCTGTGTGTACTGGGGAGACAGTGAAGTTTTTTTGGGCCAGAGAGTGATGTAAGGAAACAACATTTGGAAAGGTTTTTGAAAGTAATATTAGGAGACAGATCAGCTAGTAGGCTGTTGTGCTTGTGGAGTGCACAGGAATTTGGACTGGGTTTAATTGGAAATGAAAAGGAGGGTGAGTTTTAGAAACATTATTGTTGAAATCATCTGTTGTCCGGGGTAGGGCAAAAGGAAGAGATGAATGGAAATTAATTCTTTGTGGAAATTGATTATACGCCAGGGCCTTGGAATTGCTGTAGTTGGTAATTTGAGAAATTGGAAATGTGTGTTGTACGGAGAAGAAATTGACACTCAGCCTGTAGAGAAGTTTCCTGTGTTTGCCACAATATTCAAATGGAGGTGTCCTGCCAGCAACTGAGGCTCTGAGATTGGTGGGAACCCATGGGGGTATAGTTAGGGAGAGGGAGAGGAAAGGCACTCAGAGTAAGTGGGGGTTCTTCTTGGCCAGACAGCCAGCTAAGTATGTGAGTTGGACTCAGGTTCTGACTTGGAGGGCTTCTGCTTATCCCTCTTGCATTGCCAATCACGTGGCATTGCCTGCTGTTGACCTTGAGGTTGGAGAAGCAACTTTTGGTAATTAGTGCTCCTAGGAAAATGGGGTCATTTAGTCTCATAATCATGAGAGTGGAATTGGAGAGAAGTTAGAATGGAATTTGCTAAAGGTGTAAATTGTTGGGCTCTGAAGCATGTTGAACTTTGCTTCTTTGGGTTAGTCCCAGTGTCCCATTTGTGCCAGGGGAGGATGGAGCATCTAGATGATCTAAAAAAAGGGGAGAGAACTTTGGGCCTAGGGATATTGCCTTTTATAGGGCTTGGTCCATCCCAACCTGATCCAGTTGCCAGTTCCCCTGATTCTGGTGACCTGCGGCAGAAAGGAGCTAGCTGGTGCCGTTTTTTCCTGAGCTCTGAATTCTGCTTTCTTGTTGCAAGGATGATTTAGGGTGATTTGCTGAACAAATTCCCCAAGCCTCAACTTGAAACATCTGAATTTGAAGGATGATTGCAAAAGGTTGCTGAATGAGCTGAGAATGTAATTACAGTTACTTAGCCTCCTTGTTTCTGTGAGATGCAGGATGAGTGAACTGGCAGGGGAAGAGGACCTAGAAGGGGGACCTAAGGGGGAACAGAACAGATATTTTTTTTTCCCTTTATAGGGAATATCTGAACATCCAAAAACTAATTGCATGGAGCAGTGGTTGAGCTCGCTTACTTACTGTAGAGCAGTGTTTTCTGCCCTGTTTTGACCATGACCTACACTAAGAACTAAAATTTACATTATGATCTACCACATATGATCATGTATGTAAAAAAAAAAAAAAATCTTAGTTCATGAAGTACTGCCTTTTTTTTTTTTTGGTTGGGGTAATAATCTTCTCTGACATTTTTACTGCCTATTCTATTTTTTGTTACTAAAAAATGCTATTGTCTCCCACCAAGTTGATCTAACCACTCTCTAATGGAGCATAACCCACCGTTTAAAGAGCCCACAGAGAATTTTCACATTCAGTAAGTATTTACTAAGTTGCTAGTGTGCAGAGCTACCCTTCCCAGTGCCGAAGGTAGAAGGAGGCGTAAGAGAGAGATGGAAAGTTCACAGTCTAGTTGGAGAGATGAAGTATACATTAGATTAGGAGCAAGGTAAGACAATTAAATGCCAAAATGAAATATAAGCATGTTAGGATTTAAAGAAGTGGGGAATAATGTGTACTGTGTGGCTTGGAAAAATTCTTTGGAAAAAGGAAGGAAAGTCTGGGATGAGCAGTTGGGGTGTCTTCTGGTGCCGCATGGTGCAGAGGGAGCAAGAGCTTGGAGTTAGGAACGCGCACACACAGTGCTTGTGTGAGAACAGAAGACTGTTGTGCGAGCAGAGGGAGAGATCAGGTTGGAAAGGTGGTTTAGGGTCCTAGGTAGTACAGGGTTTGTGAAGGGGTGGCCTGCAGAATGTTTTAAGTCTACAGGTATGTTCTAGTTTGGACAACACAGAAGTTTTAAAACTATTGGGAACAGTCAAGGATTTGGGCAGTCATCTGGAGCTCTGGGTTGGCTGTCCTTCTGGAGAAGACCTTAGGGTTCCCAGTTCTCCCGGTCCCAATGCTTTCTGTGGCCTTGGTCCAATTGCTTTACATTCTCTGCTGAAGCCTGTAGGCATTTGGCTTTGTCACTTCCATTTTCAAGAGCCTCTTTTGGGCTGCCATGGAGTGTTTTGGGAAGAGTGTGACATGGAATCTGAAATATTTATGGGCAAGCAGTTTGTTTTAGGCAAACCAGCGGCACTTTCTGAGGAGATGCTATTGGGGACATGGAAATATTTTTACAGTGGTATTTATTTAAATGGTATTTGTTAGAGAGGGCTTTGACCTGTGTTCTGCATGGTGGGCAGATCTCCAGTGATGCCAATGTCTCTCAGACTTCCCTGTTTCCCATTTCTGGCTGGCATGGTTAGATGATGGTTCCTGGCTTGTGTCAGAGGATGATGTTGGGGTAATAACTTGGTGAGCTGTG